GTGTGTGTGTGTGTGTGTGTGTGTGTGTGTGTGTGCGCACATGCAACGGCACCCCCTGCCATCCCTTCAGTACCGGATTTCCTTACCCCATCCTGGATTTCCCTAAAATTATTATGATCACCCTAGGCATATACCATTGCAAGTGCTAACAATCCTTAATACATTTATCCACACACCAATTCTATGAAAAAGGAAGGGGCACTTAGCACTGGGGATCAGAGGTAAAGAGAAACTGAATTCCTTTCTCTAAAGACCTGATTCTCTGGGTTCTGAGAATCAATCTGAAGCAGAACATGGATCACAAAGCAGGACATGGATCATGAACCAAGATCACGAAGAGGAAACCTGCAGTTCAACTGACTGCACAAAGCATCCTCAGTGTATTGTGGGCATGTGATGCCACTGAAAAGGGGTAAGTAGTACACTTTGGGGGAGGGAGCTGATTTCCTTTTCCAAGGAAGATTTTTTTCCCCTCTTGAATAAGGGTGAGAAATCAAAATCTCAGCCATGATCACTGTCAAAATACTAGACAGGTTTGAGTTATCAGTGTCTAAGAAGCTTCACTGGGAAGAAACCACACTCTGTCAAGACCTCACCACAGCTAAGTGTGGAGGCTGCTGCATGTTTTCAATCCAAGCAATGCCATCAAGCACATGCAACAGGGATATTTCTCCTGTCTGCTGAGTTGAGCAATGGAAACCATGTACATTCAGCTGCTGCTTATATACCATCAGCTGGAACATAATGCTTGAACTGCCACAGTGGGGGTGAACTCTTCTTTGACAATTCCACTTACTGAGCAAATATTAACTGTGGTTAAGAATCAAAGAAAGGAAGATGGGTGGCCAGGAACAGAAAGGGAGGAAAGAATTAGAAGAATGTCTCCAATAAACTCTTTCAGGACATTCCAGGCTGAGAATGAGTAACAGCATCGCAGACTCAGGGATGTGCTGCCTTTTCTTATAGCAGCATTCACATAAAGCACAATACACCCCGTCAGCCACAGGCCAGAATGGAAGTGGTATCACTGATTACTGCTCCAGCCATAAAGCCTGGTAGTGCTGCTTAGGTCACCTGTAAAAATAGTCGTAGGTGGTTTCCTATTCAACTGCCTGTTAAAGTCACTACCAAAAGGGCCCTGCTCACAAAGTTAGGATCTAACCTCCCCGCAACACACACACACACTCCAGTGGTTGCTTCTGGGTTTTGATTTGGATCACTAGAGATATAAGCCTGGTTCAAGATTTGAATCCGAATCCCCTGAACACCAACAGTGTGGTGGGGGGGAATGGGATCTGGGTTCTTACTTGGGATTAATTTCTGAATGAAGTTTGGCATAAGAGGCTGAAATCAAGAGAGGATCAGTGCTGCAAGGATGAAACATCTTGGCTAGAAATGAGGGAAAGGCACTGGGCAATGCAGAGTGGAGTGCACTGCAGCTTGCCCTCCTCATCGCCCTTCACTTCTATGTGAGAAGCGGTGGGCTTTCCCCTTTAAATTTCTCCATTTAAAAACGGCCATTTTCATTCAGATTTTTCTTTGCCTCTTTCAGGCTTCTGCTGAAAAACAGAAACAGCACAAAAAATCCATCTTAAAAATAATTGGTTTTCTTCACAAAATGCTTTGCTGCAAATTTTCTGCCCATCTCTCCCCATGTAATATCTAATGTCCAGAGAACATTTCCATACCCCACATAATGTAATATGTAATGTCCAGAGAACAACCAGCATTTATACCTGCCTGTGGCAGGGGGTCAGGCTAGATGATCTGTTCAGGTCCCTCCTGATCCTAGCTACTATGAAACTATGAAACATCCCTTAGGGTGTGTCTCATGGTTCCTATGTCTTAGTCAAAGTGTCATGGGGGTAATGCAGCTGAGGTCTCACTGGAGAGACAGCATGTGGTGGGAAAGGACCCTGTATTTTCAGGCAACCAACTCTGTGCAGGGATCATACCCAACTGTGGTATCATTCATACCAACTCGGATACACAGCCAGATCTTGTAAGCAGCAGGGGCGGCCAGCCCCAGCCCAGCAAAGTAGTTCAGCTTGGGTTTTCGTTTAAGGATGTCAGCAATCCCAGTCAAGTCATCTGCTTGAGGGCTCAGGCCTTGCTCAAATATTCTTGCAACCCACTTTTGGTCTTACAACCCACCAATTTAGAAATGCTGCTTTAAAGCATTAAATCCACGTGGTACAAGTTAAGTGAAGAGGTCAGCTGTCTGGAATAAGCACCTTCTGAAACTGCCCCAACTGGGAGTATGTTCAGAAGCAAGGATGTCACAGCAGCATTTCACACAGCACTGATTAACACTGGAAGTTGATGCTCATTCATTTCTAGTGACCAAGGCACCCACTCACCTGTCAAAGAGGGGCTTCTCCCCACAGTCAAAGGAATCCTGAAGGTCCTTGACTAGGTTGGCTTGGCCGGGCATTCGGAAGAGCCCTTCCTCAGTGAGGCCTCGTTCCCGAATGAAATCCACACATTGCTCCACAAGCAGTGGGGCTAGCCGCTGGCCATATTTCCTCTCATATTGCACTGTGTCCTCCAACCGCTGCCCGAAGATCCCTGCCAATGGGAGACACCATATGGCATTAACTTTTATTTCACTTAATTTTAATTCCCCCCCAAAGCCTGTTAGTAGGCCAGGGTGGGATTGGGGGAATGGGAGCTGTGAGTCACATGAAGGGAGAATGGACCCCGTTTCTACCAGCATCAGCAAAAATAAATCAAGAAAAATTACAAGCTAATAATTTTGTTCTGCTTTGAATGCAGAGTATGAGAAGCTGACCTCTACCCAGCTCCCACTGGGGAAGCTACCCAAATGAGGTGAATATTTGGCCCCAAGAAAAGTATAAAAGAGATTGGCATTGATTATATTTGCCTACAGCTGTTCTGACTGTACAAATAACCAACAGACTGCCTGAATGATTACACTTCTATAGCTCATCTTACCCAAAGGACCCTGAAGCACCAGTCTGAAATGGGTGCCCTGACTTTGCATATCAGAATTGCTTCATCTGCCGCTGGGCACAGCTATATTTGGGTGGGGCAGAGCTGTTGGTTGCCAGCTCATCCCACTGAAACCACCAGAGGAAGATTTAAAAAACCAGAATGCAATTATCCACATTAAAACAGGCCAGGGATTGATGGTAACAAATCATCTGGTGTAAAGGACGTTTACTAACTAGTGGCCTTTTGCCTTATAGTTCAGTTTCTTTAATAAAAAATGATTAATAACATTAATTAAAACACTGAGTCAACCCAGGTTCACCAGCATTCCTAGAACTTGCCTTGCCCCCTCACACACACACACACCGTGAAAGCACTCACATTTTCAGTTCCTTCTTCCTTGATATAATGTGTATGCATCCTTATGCTCCCCCCCCAAAGTCTGACTGGGGCTCACACACTCATGTAAGCTGCACCTACACTATGTAACTTGCTGAATGTGGTGCTTCTTCTCCCTCCACTGGGGCTTGAGCCAGTGGGAGCAGCTGCTAAACTTGCTCCAGGTTTACTGCAGCATTTCAGTACACACCAAAGAGATGCCTGTTCTTAGATCCAAAATCTAAGGGAAGATCCCCATGAACCCATCCAGGGGCAACAGTCCTACAGAGTGCCACTGAGGCAGCGCAGAGGATATAGCATTAAAAAAGTCACTTGCTCTGGGAGTGAAGATTTTAGACAAATGGTACACTGCCAAAGTTTATTCAATTTTAGATGTGACCAGATGATAGCAAAATGGGGTTTGATCCAAAGCCTACTGAAGACAAAAAGAGGCTTTCCATTGATTTGGGTGGGCTTTGGGTCAGGCCTCCAATATCCATCATTTTATCTTACATCACTGAAAATACTGCTCCACATCATGCTGGCTGTATAGTATACTCTTGGCCAATTTATGAGTAACACATACTGTGTCACATATAACAGACTATAATCTGACACTTTGCATTTCCATTTAAGTGTTGCTTTCACAGGAGATAAGGAAGGAAATTTCCCAGCCACCATTTGCTATCACACAATGGAATTGCTGTACTAGGTCAGATCTGTGCTCTATCTCTCTTAAGCCTGCACTTTCCTTGCTGAGAGATATTCATGCTGATGTCAATGTGAGATGTGTCTGACCTGTGAAACACTGGGCCTCTAGTCTAGCATCTTCTTTCTGCCAGAAGCCAATCCCTGCTATGTCAAAGGGAGACGTAATCCATCCCAAAACCATGTACTTGGGAAAATGGTGGAGGGAAATTCCCTTCCTGACCACATCTGGAGACCAGCTTGTATACTGAAGCTGAGTCAGTCATCCTTATCATGCAAATTCTAGTTAGTGTCTTGCAGATTTAAGTTCCCATGCACATCAGTGTTTAATCTACATGTGAGTCCCAACACATGTATGCCTCAATAATAGCCCAAAGCAGGGACTTTTGTAGGCTGTTGGTAAGTTAGGAAAGAAAGAATCTTGTCCCGTGTGTGTACATGTGAATACATGCTGCTTTCTAAACAAACCAAGTGCCCCTTGTTCTTGTGTGTTCAGCCTGTGTGCAGTTCCACCAGAGGTCTTCCTGAAATTAAAAAAAAAAAGACTACACAATTTTTCAAGCAAATGTCATGCTGGCAAAGGGGCCAGGCCAACAGCCTTGCTGTCTCAGAGCTGTTGGAGTACTCGGCACTTGCAGTGTGGGTAAAAAGCAGCAGAACAAACTTCTTTGCACTGTCCCACACCTTCCTTCCACCCTGACACAAGAGCTGAGATGGCAAGGCCTGCTTGGGCTGGGCCTCTCCGCTGTGGCTGCCTCTCAAGAATGGGTTTGCTGTGAGGTGCACAGGGGAGTGGACTTTCCAGTTCTCACTGGGTACCAGGGCGGGAGCTCATTGCTAATGCAGAAACTAAGGGGTTCTGAAAGGAGATGTGAAGACCTATTTGCTGCGAGTCTCCTCCTCCTGCTTCTCTGTCCACGCACCGCTCCTCCTGGCCTCTGCCCATCTTTCATTCTGTCTGGTCAACCTTTTCCTCTTTCCTAGCACCATCTAGGTTTCAGACTCATTTCTGAACCCAGGCCATGATATCTGAGCAAGTCCAAAATCAGCCCCAGCCAGTCTCCAGTTTACTTATTCACTGCTGGCTTAGGCCAAACAAAGGGACTTGGAGATAAAAGGCTGCATGTCCCAGAGTCAGTCTAAGCCACTGGTTCCTCTTCCCCTTGGAGGGCCTAGTCTTCAGAAGCAATTGCTTTCAGCAGATACGGAAAGATCACAGCAGTCTCCTCTTTAGGGACCTCCAGGCCCATCAGGAACTGAATTGTGCTCTACCCCCACCCCAATTTTCCTCAAACCTACACAGGCCCCCCTTATCCCCGACCCCCTCACAAGTAACTCAGAAACCCATGTCTCCTTCTTACTAACCTTACTGGGCTGGGAGGAAGAGAGGACATGATAGATCCAGCAGGGAAGCCTGTGTGCGAGAGCCATAATGGGCAAACCTGAGAAGGGAGGGATTCTTCCACTCCTCAGGTTGAGAACATGGGAGTGGAGTGACTGGAGGAGGTGAGGCTTTCTTTACCCGCACTCCAGATCACAGCCCACCCCACACCCCCCGCTCACAGCACAGGGAACCCCTGCATGCAGTGAGGCCCTCTCCCCTTCCAAGAGCTGGACCACATAGAGATGTAAGAGCCTGCTACCAGCCTTAAGGTAAGAGATGGAGCTGTAAAGTCGTGTTACTTCCAATCCAGATGTCAGAGCTGAAGGCCCAGCCGTGCTTGTGGCGTTATATATGATTGGAGGGAGATACTACCCTAATCCGGTCACCAAAACAGTATCTTTCGCTTTCAAGTGAACAACAAACAAATGCTGATGACAGAGGTCTCCATTTACAGATGCAGTTCTAACTCAAGGGTCATGTCCCCGGTGCAATAAACCTGCTCCTCACTCAGTGCTCACACCACTGGAACGAAATCCACATGCAAACAAGCTGGGAAAAGGCTGGAATCTCCCATAAACGTATTTCCACCAAGACAGCTCGCTGTGGTGACTGCAGCATAGAAAAGTCCTCTGGCCATTGCATCTATTAACCAACAGCACCTAAACTGAAGTTCTGCTGACACCAGGACATCTTACCAGTGCGGGAATACCAGTATACTATGCTGGTGAAGTACTTGTAATGTGGATGAGGCTTACACGGGGGAAGCTGCACTTTGAATCCAGCCTCTCTCACCACCAGGCAGCACAAGCTATGCCAGTCCAAGCACAGGTTTACTGTTGTGTAGGAGACTGTCAGCATGGCTGTGCCAGTCAAGCATCATACCCCTTCGCTGGCAGAGCTACGCTGGCAGGAGGCTTTAGGGCAGACCTAGTGTAACTAGCATTGTCTCCTGGCTTGGGTCTGCTGAGGCTGTGCAGAAGCAGGTTTAGGAGCGGAGACAGTGTCCTCTCCAAAGCTGCCCTGTCTTCTGCTCTGCCTGACAGGCCTGTCTGTGTAGCTGAGGTGGCTACACTCCCCCTTGCCTCCCCCCACCCCTGCCCCCTGCTGACAGCAGTCCTGAGGCTGGATTGGTTGTGCCCTCCTTTGAAATTAAAAACAAACAAGGAGCTGGTTGCATGCAGCCTGATCCAATCCGTTGGCTCCTCCAGGCACGGGCCTGTTTTCAATCACTGGTGCCTGCAGCTCAGACTGAACTTGGCAGCCTCGGCTCCCTTTGATGCTGCTGCTGGAAGACGTTACTGCCCTGGGTTGCTCTTCATTTCTGTCCCAGCAGAAGCAGGAGCCAATGCCATCAGCCTAACTGCCAGCTGAGGTCATGCTGGAAACAAAGCACAAGGCTACTGGCTGCCAAAGAGTTAAATCTTCCTGTCCTATCCTTATCTAGAGTCAGGCTGCTGTGTTTGGTTTCAAAGCAGTAAAATAACATGCCTGGGACCACATCCTCAGTCTCAGGCAGATTCAATAGATACTAGACAAATGGGTTAGCACAGCTGGAGGAAGTTCTCCCCCTCTGCAACAAACCGTCTCTGGCTCTTTATGGAAAACCCAAATCAGGAATGGTGAACTCACTAACACACACAGTCGGGCTTTCTGTCCTGGCCTGAATAACTCACCCACCCACTTGAGGCATACAATGAATGTATATTCAGCCATACTGTTCAGACATGCCGTGGGCAGGAAGGGATACTCTCCCTGCTTCATTTTTCCCTATCACAGCTCTGATTTCAAACAAAGGGAATTGAAGAGAGAAACTTTAAATTCAGTCTGAGATTCTATATCATTCAGGTTGACAGGCAAGAAGGCTCTTGCTTTTGTGTAGGTAATACACATATCCATTAGCACATGGATAAAAACACGTATACTGAGATCCATATATGTTTGCATATCCCCATGCACACTTGTACACACACACGGGATGCATGTGTATGCATATATCTGTCAGCCACCAGCTCACACATATGACCACAAGCACACATGTGCTGACACATACTGACCCTAGAGCTCACCTACAGATGCAGTCACCTGTTCTCCCACTGACACAAGTGTCCCTCTCACATTTGAAAATGCTCACATACACAAAATCATG